GACTGGCTGAGGCTGGACAATGTTTTTTCACCTTTCTGACAGCAAAATCCAACCAGAGGGCTGGGATCGTCCCGCTCCCAGAGGCCACAGTTTGACCTATGTGAGAGTTATTTAGTTGTCATACCTTTCGGCAGGTGCCCAGTGCAGAAACTCACTGATTTAGGCTCCAGATCAAAAAAGGTAACATGGTGGCCAGCCTGAGGGCATCTCCTTATGAGATGGGGGCAATATGTCTAGCTTCCTGGGGGCAAATGTGAACCAGGGTCCAGGACAATATCTGGGGGGACTGCCCCTGTCAATGCGCTTTATAACAGTGCTGGTGAGGGGAGGTGTCAAAGGTCCCCTCTCACCTCAACCCCTGAAAGGGGAGGGATACTAGCAGGTGAGTGGAGGCACCCAGAAAACCTCCTAGTGTTATGATTGTCTGCCCCTGTGATGAGATCACACAAAGAATTGGAAAAGGATTAATGGGCTAAAAATGACTACTCTGGGCTGTCTCCTGACAGGAAACGGATGTAATTTTTGACCAATAAAGTTGTGGCCTTGTTAGAACCTAAACCATGTGGTCCTTTCCTTCTTCCCTGCCACGAGCACACCAGAGAGAGAGTCCCTGTCGGACGGAGACCATTTCAGACTTCATCAGCAAACAATCTTCACTTCCAACCACCATCAGTGAAATTCCAGACAGGTGTAATTTTGAACTGATGTCCTCCCTCCACAACTGCATGTTGCCCTCTTAAATAACTTCTCTCTAAAAATGACACTGGAACCATCATGCTCTATTTAATAATGTGAGAAAGTCCAGCTTTAAAGCACAGCCCTCTGAAGGCCAAGTAACATGTTGCTAATGAAGGGATTCAAGCACAGCGGAGGCCAATTGCACTGGACATATTATGTTTCCATTTTTCTCCTACTGTCATTCCAGTCCCCGCTGCTACCATGAAAACAAAGGGACAGAGCTGTGAAGCACACTGGTGCGGATTAAAAATAATAGTGCAGAATGTGTTAAAATGTTTTACAGAAAAAGAATGACTTTAGAACCTTCCTAGCAGCACGTATACACACATGCTGTACTGAGATCTACCTTGTGGTCAAAGAGTGGTGATCAAGAGGTTTCAGAGAAGCATACATTCTCATTGTCTTTACTGTTGAAATGCAATTGTTATCATGAAAGATCCATCATGGTGGTATGATTCTGGCTTGTTTTTTAAAAGATATTTTATTCCCCAAAGCTTAGGTAGATTATTGTTCCTCCACTTTTACTTCTCATCCCTCTTCTGAGAAAATGCTAAATAGAAAGGAGTTGCTGTCCCTTCATATATTTACGGATGTTAAATGGAAACTTTTGGATGGCCAGATTTTTATCTTAGCTTGTTTCACCTAAGAAGTTTGAGAAATCTGCTACCCAGCCTGGGCTTGCATCTGCACTCGCAGAGTTAATCGACACCTGTTGTATTTTTGAGATTAGAAACCTGCTCTCAATTTACTTTTCAAGAGCTACAAACAATTATTTGTATAAGACAAGTTCCTTGGAAGTGGAGTGCATAATAATTTGTTTAAATCGTTTCACATAATGCACTTCACCACTTCTTCGTGCAGTTTTCAAGAGCCTCAGACTAGGAATGCTATTTATCCTCATTACACAGTAGCCTCAATCTAAATAGAATAGCACAGCACATAAGTTTAAATGAGAAACTGAAGAGTCTACAGTTAATAGCTTTCTTAAATTGTTGTTAATGTGGCAGTGAAATGCATCTATCCCTTCCTTGCATAACAAAGCCTATATGTACTTTATTAATATCAGTCATCTGCCAGGCTAAGCAATACTTTTCCAGATATTTCATCCTGTATAGTTGTGCTATGTAAGACTGCTTTCTGCTGGATGGAGTATGTCAAATCTGTTCATTCATATGTAGCTTCTCTCTAACAACTGAGATAGAGGAACGGTTCCCTTAGGACTCCATCCTGCAAGGTTCTGGGCACTCTGGTTCCAACCCAGCAAAACACATCAACATGTACTTAACAGTATAAGCATGTGAGTAGTTCCCTAGGCTTCAGTTTGGGCCACCATAATGCTCAGCACAATGCAGGGTCGAGTCCCTAGTTAATGAGGAAGTAATCTGTGTGAGAGAGGCCAGGATTTCTAACCCTGATGCTGTAGATATGTGGCTAGTTGACAATAGTAGTGGGTTTTTTTTTTAAATAATGAGCTGGGTGAAAGAAACCTTGTTGAGTTTGGTTAAAACCCCTGTTGGAGTTGATAGGTGTGAACTCATCCCTCAATTAACATAACTGGAACCATAAGCCCTGCAGACAAAAGTGTATGTGAACCGGCCTAGGAGCTTTTGAGCTGAGTATTGTTTTGGGTAGGTGTGTGTGAGAGAGAACACACACCTACTGAGGTCACAGACAAGAACAGAGAGGTAGAGAGAGAGTTTTTGGGTTTGGTGTTAGCTCAAAGAGGGCGGGGGGCTGGTAAGACAAGAAATTACTCCTTTTTGTTCTTGGTTCCTTCTGTGTTCAGAGACACAGGACTTTGTACATTCCTTGATGTAGTTTTGTTTATTTACAAAGAAACACCTGGCTACCACCAATTTCTACTCCCAACTGGAACACCCACAGAGCCCTAAACTTTGACTAGTTGCTCTGATCAAAAAAGGAGAAATGATATATTTGCAGCTGTGGATCATTAAACTAGAATATTTAGTTAGAGCCAGGAATAGAACCCAGGAATCCTGGCTCCAAGACTCCTGCTCTGCCACTGTCTTTTGTGACTATAAGCCAGAGAGAAACTGAAGCACAGGGAGGCTGTCTCTCTAAAATGGAGATAATACTTCTCTTTCTCATAGGAGAAGGGAGGTTCAATTTGAGGATAAACGTGTCCTTGTACATCTCTGCTCTCCTTTCCTTCTACTGCCCTTTTTTACACTCTCTATGCTTCTCCCAATGTTCTCTCCCTTAGGGCTTGACTGTGCAAGATGCTGAGTGTATGCTTAAATCCTTTGCTGGATTGGGGCCAGCAAGCAGGACCATTGAAGGCAGTGGGACAACTCTCATGCTTGAAGTGAAGCATTTGCTCAAGGGCTGTGCTTGATCAGGACTAGCGTATTCAGTACCTTGCATGACTGAGCCCTTGTCTTCTCCTTGCCATTCATGATTCCGTGCCTCTTTCATGCTGGTTTGAACAGTCCCACATGCCTAGTCCACCAAGTGCCCTGCCTCTTCGGAAATCCCACTACTTCCACAAATCCTTCCCACCTTGTTCTCCTCACCAATACCCTCTGCTCATCTTTCTTGATCTGACCAGTTGTCCTGTGACTAGTCTCTCGGATTGTAAACTTTGGAGGCGAGGAAACATGTCAATTTTATGTTACATTTGCATCACTACATGCATGTCTAGTAACAACAATTGCAGAACGAATCCTACAATTAGATCACTGTAAGCAGACACTTATGCCCACGGGGAGGCCCAGTGAGGTCAAGAGGGCTCTGTGTGTCCACAAGGTCTACCTGTGTGGAACTGACTGCAGGATCAGGGGAAACCCCTGCAAAATGCTTTGAGATCCTTCAAAGAAAGAGACCGGTTCTAAGTACTGTTTCAATAGATCAGATTTAAAAATTAATTGAGTGCACCTCAGGCATTTTAAATGAACATATAGTGGGCCAGGTTTGGAAGTGGATAGTATGCTGCTGGGAAACCCAGATTTCCAGAGCTTTGTATGGGCTATTCCCTACTCCACATTCAAAAGGCTCCTTGTTCAAATTCCAGTCAGAATTTTAAAATAAAAACCCCTCAAAAATTTTGAAAGGGACTGACAGACAAATTGCATCGATCATAGCGTTAAGAGGAAAGCAGAGACAAGTCATAGTTTCAAATAAAGAAAATTACCACGTTAGTACAAATTATTTCCAGGCCTATAAAAATATCTGTCATCCGATTTAGCTACTTGTTTTAAACACTGCATTTCAGTGCTTCAGTGGGTGAGGTGTTCTGCACACTGTTAGCTTAAATGTCTGCTCTTCAAAATGGTTAACAACTTCAGACCTCTGTGCTGGTAAGCTGTTAACTCTAACTAACCTCTCACTCACTCCTCACTTTTTAAAGAGTTTGGAGTTTACTTCTAGACTCACTTATCCAGCTTCTTAGTAAATAAGACAGTGCCTCCCGTAATATTTTATTTGCAAATGACTTGACAGATCACACAGGGTGCATTCCTAGCACTCATTTTACTGAATCATCACATTTTAAAATTCTTTACACAATGATGTCAGGAGGAAGCTCTGGATTAGCATTCCAATGTCAGTGTGCATGCCTTTTTTTTTCCAAATAGTCACAAAGACATTTGTATGAAGGCAGTTTGCAAATCAGAGAAATATATATATATTTACATTTACAATGAAGACATTGTGATTTCCTCAGTCCTGCTAAGGGGCTACAAAATGTAACTTTGCAGCTACACTTCCTGTGCGTGTGTGTGAACTTCTGCCAAAAAGATTATGAAGAAATGCGGTGCATGATTTTTTCTGCAATGCCTCCTCAGCATGTGACTATTTTAATCTGATTTCCTCCCTGGTTTGTCTCTTTCTATTATGCTGGTTTCCTTATTAATTATTATTTTTGCATTCTCTCTTTGTGTAGTTGATCAGATCCTGTGATCACCATTTTTTTTTTTTTGCCAGTAGCTCACGTGCACACATGGCGAGGAGCAAACTGACATCATTTGACATCACTCTGCTTCCTTATTTCAATATTAACTGTTTACCAGAAGAGAAACAGGTTTGGGGATAGGCTGGGTTTTTTTTTTTTTTTTTTTTTTTTTGGTTAGTGAGGTTTTTTCTCTTCACAGTAGCAGATGGAGCTTCCTCAAACTGCCCAGTGCTGTTTTTCATTTTAAAAGAGACAGGACTGTGGAAGTGTTTCACTTTCTGCTCTAGCTGGTGTATAGTAACAGCAGCAAAGCTGAGTGCCGCTGCTAGTCTGCTCTCAGAGCAAACCTGTTAAAGGATTTTTCCCCCCTCCATAAATCAATAGGCATGACACAGCTGCAGTTCAAAGATGCATTTTGGGTAAGTGTGCAGTTCCTCTATATTTCCTGTGTTATACCTTCATTTATACATCTAAAGAGATTGTCTATTAATTTAATTATAGTTCACTCTTCAAACTGAGTTTAGAAGCAGATTAAGCTCCCCCCCCAAAAAAATATACTGTTTGCTATGATAACCATTTAACCTAAGACACATTGTAAAGCGTTATGGTCGACTTGGACTATATGACAGGTGAGGTTCTGATGCTTTATTTCTAAACTAAGTACTCAAACCCTTTTGAAAGGAACAAGGCTTAGTTTGTCATGCAGCCCCAAGACCACTTGCTTATAGTGAATTGTTGGAGTTAGGGAGTCGCTACTCTGAGCAGGTGAACTGTTGCTAATGGTATTATGATTTCTCTAATACTTGCTTTTAGCCAAACTAACAGCCCCACACAGAACCTTACCATGCACCCTCCTGCTGTGTGTATATCTAACTTAAACATGCAGAAGGGCATTCATGTTGCATTAAGGGCTCAGTATGCCAAACCATGAGTCAAGGTCTTCCCTCCCCCCCCCTTTTTTTTAAATGGAGATGGACTTAAAATCATGAGAATTTCAGTAATAATAATTTTTAGAGCGAGGGGATATTAATTTGCCTTTTGGTTTCTGAGCCTTTAGTTGTCATATTTTCAATCTCTTCTCTGGAAACACAAGGGTTAGAAACAATTTGTTTTTTTAAACGAAAGCTGAGATTTGTAAGCAGGAGCTGGGGCTTTAAGAAAAACAACGAACGCTGTATGGCTTACGGGGTGAAAATGACACTTCTTCCCCACCCCTCTTTCCCTCCTTGCCTCTTCCCCAGCCCTGGAAAGCACCTGCAAAGGATTGGGAATCTACATGTGGGAAGGGAGTGAAGATGAGTGCACTACCCTCATCATCCCCTCACCAAGCCTGAGGAGAATCCACTTAAAATTTAATTCAACCCCGATGCTGTATTAACTTTCATGCCACACCCACAGCACAATGAACCCCCTGTGGGTGAAGTGGAGGGGAAGGACCATGGGTGGAGTGGAGTGGGGAGATAAGGAAAAATGAGAAGTGGTGCAGAGGTAAAAAAATAGAAATGGCTAACCTAAACTAAACTCCATATTCCCCAAATGAGAAGTAGGCAAACTCCATTTCCCTGCAATTACACTCCGGAAAGGTTACAAAGTAGCAGCCGTGTTAGTCTGTATCCGCAAAAAGAACAGGAGTACTTGTGGCCAGGGCCGGCTCCAGGCACCAGCCCACCAAGCTGGTGCTTGGGGCAGCACCTGGAGGGGGGTGGCGCGGCGCTCCGGCCCGAGAGCGGGGCTGCGACCGGGCTCGCCGCCCTCCCCCCGGCACTGCCTCTGGCCGCCGGGGAGAGCGGAGCCCCGGTGGGGCTCGCTGCCCTCCCCCCGGCGCTCTGGCCACCGGGGCTCCGCTCTCCCCGGCGGGAGGCTTTTTTGCCTGGGGTGGCAAAAAAGCCAGAGCCGGCCCTGCTTGTGGCACCGTCCAACTCCTTAGCAGCTTGTCTCTACGAGAGCTGCAAAGCCTGGTTACTGGAGAAGAGGCACACAGCAGGCCCTGGCTGGAGCTATTGTTGAAGTACAGGCCTTCTGCACAGATGATCCTGATCTCCAGTGAATATTGGAGAATCCACAGTTCCGCGGGCCAGCCACTGGATTCTTTCCTGGGGTGGGTGCCAATGGTTTCCCTGGGTGAGCTTTTCTCCCTTCGATCATCTCCGGGGGTTTTCCCACAGGAGGAGCTTTGAGCAGTTAAAATAGGACCCGAAAATACAAAAATTAAAGTTCCTATTGTAATGCTAACACAGCCGTGGGTGCACCTAGGAGAGATTTTCCAGGTCTGTTTTTTCTGTTAAGGTTGGTAAATGTACAGTGTAATATTCAGGATGGGGAAATGTAACTAGTCAGCGCTACTGTAACTTCAGCTTCTGCATTTTGAGACTTCTTTTTAAACTGTGCAACTTACATTTTGCATAATACTTTTTTTGTATGTAGGAGCCAGATCCTCAGTTGGAGTAAATCAGCATAGCTCTGTGGAAGTCCATGGAGCTATGCTAATTTACACCAGTTGATAATCTGGTCCTAGCAAGGTTTTGGTTGTGTTTTTTCCAGTAAAAGCCCATTGCCTGTATTCTGGAATGTTAGTATTTGAATAATTCCTACTAGGCTTTGAAGTTTACACCTCCTTAAAGTGAATTTACCTTTGTTTTTGCTATTGTTTGGCTACAAAGAGTTTTTTTTTGCAGGGCTTAGTTAATAGGGTAGAAACACATCCGGTGGCTGTATCTTCACAATTAAAAAAACTAAAATAAAAACTTAGAATGTACAGGATATTGCACAATGTGCAACACCTCACAGCGAGGCACTATAAATCACAGGATCGGCAGTTAATTTCCCATCCATGAGTTTCTGCTATGTCCAATAGCAAGATAGGTTTTGGAAGAGATTTGCTGTGTCTCTTTCAATGAGAGATTCATCTCCCACATTCAACTGGCCCCAACAGCTGTGACTATGTCTTCATGACAAAACAAGGTGGTTTTCACCTCATGGTAGCTATCTTGAGATAGCTCCTTAAAAACCTAGTGGAGACAAGGCAAAGGTAGTTCTTAACTCAATGTACCTTGTCAAGGTCAACCCCAGGTCAGGGGTATACTGTTCACCTCAACTAGCAATTATGAGGTAAAAACTACCTGTGCTTCATCTACACTAGGATTTAAGTTGAAGGAGTTGAGGCAAAGATGACTTCAACTAGCTATGACAAGCTAAAAGCTAACACTGTACCCTTTGCTGGGGTTGACCTTGACAGGGAGATAAAAAGTAACCGTACCTTGTCTCCACTAGGGTTCGATATTGAGGGAGCTATCTTGTGTTAACTGTTGTATTACAGAACACCCACTCCTATACACTCTTTTGAAGTGAATACATGACCTGAGAGCAGCAGATCTGTGTCTTTAGGGCTGGGTAGAGAAAACACGCAGTTCACCCTGCCTCTTAAGTGTTGCCCATACTTTTAAAGCTGAGCCCTCTTTCCGGAAAATGAATCATTACAACTGGTTTAATTTTTCATTTCCGCCCCCAGTCAAACGTATGGAAAATTTAGCACAGAAATGACTTTGCTAAATTTCACACTTCAGCCATTTTTGCTGTAAACTGGACTTGGGGAAAACAAAAATCATTAGAATTTTTTTTAAATGCAAAGTATTTTTAAAATTGTCTACAAACTCAGCAACGGCTGAAGGGAATTTGGTCAAACTCTCCGTAAAATTTGCTTTTTTGGCAGAAGTGTCCCATGCTCCAATCTATAGAGTAACACCATTTGGGATGTTTTGAGGGTGAGAAAATAGGCACTTACCTACAAAACCATTTTGCTAACTCAAGTGTAGCATTTGCTAGCAGGTGAATGCTTTATAATTACTATGTAATACCAAGGTAGCAGTGCCATTCTCTCTCCATCTCACCAGCACATACATAGTAGAAGATAGCTGGTATAGCTAACACAAAAAGTTGAGTTTCATTTCTGTAGGGTTACGTTAGTGGGCAGAGATACAAGCAATAAGGGTTTTATGGTTACAAATTTGGGATTTCCTTCCATTGTTTTTTCACTGCTAGGAATTCTGAGGGTCACCTTTTCGTCCTCACCCCAGTTTGAAGCTGATCCATTAAAATCAACTGGGGCTTTGCCATTGACTGCAATGGAGCAGGAGCAGGCCCTATTTCCTTTTCTTTTGACGTGCTCATCCCCACCATCAAAGCCTTATAATGCAGTTAACTCTGGCCAGGAACTGGATACGGCTTTTGCTGGCACCTTTCAATGCTGTTCCTTAATCATCTTGGAAAACAGAGTATAATTTTCAAAAGCACCCAAGTGACTTAGGAGCCTCTGTCTCATTTTCAAGTGACTTAGGCACTTAGGGCATGATCCCAAGTTCACTGAAGTCAATAGAAAGACTTCCCATTGACTTCAGCGGGGTTTGAATCAGGCCCTGGGGAATCTAAATCTCATTGAAAGTCACTAGAATTGAAGCTCCTAAATGTGGGACCTAGTCATAAATCATTTAGGTGCTATTGAAAATGTGACCAGCAACATGAGGTTCTTGCTTCCCAACCCTGGACTGAGCACAGCACTCTCAATTTCTGGTCGTTCAGAGTGAAAAGTATTAGCAAATTTTACTGGCAAACAAGCTGATTCCTGTCTCTCATTACTTTAAATACATTCTGTGCAAGATACACTGCAAAATCCACTGCCTAGGTGAACCTCAAAGATTACTTTGGCTTTGTGATTGCTCTCAATATTTCTGCACACAGGTATACTATTTGTACACAGATGGCTAAAGTAAAAGTTTTCATTTCTAATGAGGCTGTGGCCCATGATATGCAGGTGCAGAAACAAACCTAAGAGTCCAACATTTCCGCAGGAATAATAAGAACTGTTTGAGAGACTTAGCAGACACATACTTAGTACACACTATTCTGATTGATATTTTATTTTACAAGGAGGCTCTTTTTACATGGTGAAACCATTAGACACTCAAGATGTTTGCCTACTTTCCTGTAATAATAAATAAAGAGCTGGAAAAAATTGTATTTATGTGTAGGAATGATACAAACACCTTGATGTAGCTACATGAAGGTCAACTGCCACCCGATATTGATCTAGACTCTCTACACTGAAGTAAAAGCTACCTGTGGCTTGATTCCACTAGGATTTTGCATTGCAGTAGCTATCTCTGTGTAAAAACGCATTCGTTCTCTCCCCCCCCCCCAAGCAAAGACACAGCCACAGTTTGCAGGGTTTAATTTGTCTCCACAGCAGCAAGGGAGAAGCTAGAAACTCACTGAATAGGATCTGTGGCCCTTCCTGTGCAGAAGAACAAAATGAATGGTTGTGCAGATCTCCATCCCAGGATAGTCTAGCTATATTAGCTTTATTTCATCACAACGGACTAGGTTAGTAGTACATTTTCAGTGCATTGGATTTCACATGCAACAG